TACTCTCCTAGCAATACTAATAGCACTGCATCACCACACCATATCACTTGGAGAATGCCTCTCTGAAATTCTGAAAATCCATATGAACGTAAGAGGATGCTGGATCAGGCCAAAGGCCCATTGTGGGATGTGAAACAAATAGCAGTCAAATACAACATCCCTAGAGTGGACATAAAAAGGGGGTGTCTGGACCAGCCAGTCGGAACTTCCTGTTTCCTCCTAGGCTGGGACAGACTTCCTCTACATGTGACCAGAGGTGGGCGTGGCCTCACCTGTGCAGGTAACAAAAGCATAGGACTGGCCACCATCTCTCTCTCTCTGACTACATTCGTCGAAGAAGCAACATCTGCTGATCCTAAGATGCTCTCTTGGCTTCCAGCCAAGAGAGGACAAAGGGACTATCTCTTTATGGGATAGATTCCAAGTATATTACTTTTGTAACTTAAGTCTGCCTTCTGGGATCCATCTGTGAACAGAATGAGTGAGTAAACTCTTTTATACTTTTATAGAAGACTGCAAGTAGATAAATAGGTCACCGCTCCGGTGGGAAGGTAAACAGTGTTTCTGTGCGCTACGCTGGTTCACCAGAAGCGGCTTAGTCATGCTGGCCACATGACCTGGAAGCTGTCTGCGGACAAACGCCGGCTCCCTCAGCCAATAAAGCAAGATGAGCACCGCAACCCCAGAGTCGGCCTTCTTTTAAGAGACAATAATAATGTTGCACACCACCCCGATCTCTGAGTGTGAGATTCCAGGAGTTCCAGGCGCTTACCCAGGGTTCAGTTTCCTCAGAATAAGGGACAGCGTAGACTATGGTGTCTTTAAGTTATCTGGTTTATTTACACATATGTACAACCTGAGCCTATAATGGAGGGGTTCACAGAAAGTATTGCTCTCTCACACAGCTCTGGCCTTTGTCCTTTTCACCAACAGCCAGGTGGAGGAGTGGGCCCACCCATTTACCCTCTGGCACAGAGCCACTTCCCTTGTTACCATAATGACCCATACTTAGGCCATTACCAAGAAGCTAGCCTGGCTATTCCAACAATTAAATATTTACTGGTTCCAGGAATTAGAAGGGATTCAGGCATACAGCCCTCCCCTCCCCCCTCCCCCCAAAAAATCTCACCACTCTAGTTTCTTAATACAGAGAGTGGCCTTCTATGTGGGGGGGGCTAGATAAAATTGCTATAAATTGTTTTGGTGATTCAGAGGTTTAATTTGAAATAAAGCTAGATTTAAGCTTGTTGGTGACTCTGATATCATCTGTCTCTTACATCATGGATGTTGGCTTGTATTATGGGTGGATGTTCTGTACTATTTTATTATTGCTACAAGTTCATCATGGCCATTGGCTAGAACAATGCACTCATGAGCAAGTGGGCTATCTACTATGATGCCAAGGTCTCATTCTTGGTCTGTCACACACACACCCCACGAGCATATCTGTGAAATTAAGATTTTTTTCGCCCAACATGCATCATATTTACATTTGCCATTTTATCACCCATTCACTCATTTTGGAAAAATCCTTTTGAAGTTCTTCAAAATCTCTTTTTGTTTTAATGACCCTGAACAATTTAGTGTCATTAGCAAACTTGGCCGCCTCACTGCTTGCTCCTAACTCTAGTGCAATTATGAACAAGTTAAAAAGCCCAGGTCTCAATACCTACTCTTAAACTCCACTTTCCACTTCTCTCCAGTTGGAGAACTGTCCATTTATTCCTATTCTTTGCTTCCTGCAACTTAACCAATTCCTGATCCACAAGAAGACCTCTCCTCTTATTTCTTGACTTTTAAGCTTACTCAGAAGTCTTTAGTGAGGTAATTTGTGAAAAGGTTTTTGAAAGTTCAAGTAAACTACACTTTGCCAAAGTGTGTATTTCTTTTTGTTCCTCCATTTGGACAAGATTTCACATTTTTGATAGGAGCTTATTTGACTCTGTTGTTAACCATGCTGGTGTCCTCTTGGCCCTCATAGTACCTTTCCTGATCTGTAGTCTACATTCCAGGTGAGTTGCTAATATTGTGTTTTTAAACAACTCCCCAGCATTTTGAAGTGATTTGAGCTTCCTTTATACCAATCTACTTCCCTCTTTTGAAAGCAAATGTGACCGTGTTGGGATTTTCTTGCCAATTGGCCATTTACATGTATATTTAATTTAATATGACTATGGTCACTGCTTCCAATCAACTCAACATCTTTCACTAGGTCCTGGGCACCACTCCATATTAAGTCCAGGGTCACCATCTCTCTGCTCCAGGCATGTCCAAAGTCCGTTTTGGGGGCATAATCCAGCCCCTGTGGCAGGTTATTTCGTTGGATAAAATCCCAAACTCGGCACTTTGGTCGGCCCTCATGGCCCTTCACTTCATCAAATCTGGCCCTCTTTGAAAAAGGTTTGGACACCACTGCTGGTCAGTTCCAACAACAACTGTTCTAGCAAACATCATTTAGGGTGTCTAGAATTTTTTTCTCTTTGTCATGACTGGAACACATGTGTAGCCAGGCTATGTGAGGGGTAGTTGAAGTTGCCTGTAGCTACAATGTCTCCCTTTTTAGATGCTTCCTTGATTTCATTCATCACCTCAAGGTCTCCTTGAGCATATCCCTTCTCTGGATATTTACCGAAGCCTGAATATGAGCCTTCTAAAGCCATCTTTATTTGTACTGGAATTTGGAAACATGGATTAGTGCTAAAGTGGCTAAAGTTTTAACTGTTAATACTATACTCCATATCTCTTTGGCAAAGCTGTATTGCTGCCAAGCATATCCACAGGTGAGCGGACCATACATCAGGTTCCAATGGGACAAACTAGCCCTCAAGGACCTGTGATGGAGATGACCAGAAGGGTCCATGTTGTGTCCATGATGTCCCAGTTGCATGATGAAGGAAGCCTTGTAGGTTTCATCTTGGGAAATACAAAGCCTAGAGGAGTTCACCTCAACAAAAACTGAAGCCACATCAAGTGGAAATTGCCTGTAGTGAAACTGGCTCCAACTATATTGGCAGCTGCCCCTCTAGATTCAGCCTCTAAGGTCAGAACTAAACCCTAGCCACCCTCACTCAGATCACAGGCAGGCTGGAGTCTCTAAATAATTCTCTGAGTTTCTGAAGCAAACTACATAAGGAAGTGTGGAGTCTCAGTGTGACTCAGTGGGGTGCTTCAAAGTGCTGCCAACATTGATTTCATTTGATATAGAATCTGTAACTCTATTTCTACACGGTATAGAAATAGATTGCTGCCTCTTCCAGGGATTCCGGGATGGAGTCAACTAAACCCCTAAGTGTTTAAACAATTCTTGTGAGGGTGGGTGCAGTTTACCCCACACCTTGCTCTGCTGGGGGGGGGCCTTCTCTCTTGAAATATTTCCTTTGTCAGACCAGAGGATGAAGCCTAAACTCACTCAGGAGTCCTCTTTTTGTAAGAAGGCCCTCAGGCTGTAGATGGAAACATTTTTTCCACCCACAGCCATGCTTAGCAGAAATCTTAGTGCCCCAGATATGTACAGAGATAACTTCACCCATAGTGAAAGTTAAGCAGTCTAGGCATTCAAGGTCCATCATTCTGCAATAAAGTTGCCCAGCAGGGATTGCAGGAGAAGAGTAAATTTCCTCTTCCCTGAAAACTACAAGATGAAGTAGTTTAATATTGCTCACATTTGAGACTGTAATTGCAACAAGTAACTGCACTTCAAAAGACTGCTGTAGAATGCTTTGTTTGAACTGCAGCTCAGGGGCTCTCAAGCCATACCCTCAAAGCCACCCCACCCCACCCCCAAAATTGTCCTGATGTAGCAAAATAAAAAGGCAGGTTTCCATTTTGGACTATTAAAGAACAATTTTATTGGTATAAATCAAACATTGTGTAATAAACTTCTTACTTGTTTGAAAAGAATTCTTCATGCACTGCATGTATTGTTCAAAAGGCAATAAGCTATAATTCAAACAAAAAATACTAGCAATTTTTCTTTCTGTGATTCTGGCAGACTTGTCAACACAGTTTCCATGCATACAGGAAAAAATGTATCTTTCGAGAAAGATTATTCCCACCTGTGCATTATCTTAAATGGGCCTCTCAGACTGAACTGTTCAGCAAATAACTTACTGCTCACACAGGCCAATCTTAAGAAAAATGAGTGTGGAGTTACAAATGTCTAGATCTGAAGTGCCTGTTACAAACACACAAAGACAAACACAGAGCAAATATCTTGAGCTGAAGACTCATGGCTGCCTTGAGTTCAGATTCTGCCTGCCATTCTACTGGTTTATATCCCATATCTAGGACATTCCTGGAGCAAGATGCTAACCTAGGGATTCCCTTCAGTTTCCCCCACAGCCCAGAATTGCACTCACATGCAACTACTCACAACATGATCAGACAGCAGCTAGTGGGCAGAATTCTACCCATGGCCTTTTCAATTGCCTTTGATTCCCCACTAGCCTTACAAAGAAGATGCAGTACTGGTGAAAAGCAAGTGCAGGGCCATCCTACTTGCCACTGCAAGCACAGAGAGACTCAGGCTAGTGCTTCACCTCTTTCTTTCTCTCTTCCATCCTCCAACATCCCCTGTTGGCTTCTGTGTGGTCTGAGCTAGCTATGCCCTGGGATCCAGTACCAGTGTTATCCTACATAGTGTACTAGCAGACAGACCTCTGGTGCTTCGTGGCCCCCCAGCTACCCTTACTTGCCTACAGCCAATTCAGCTGCAACTTAAAATCCTTAAATGTGTGGAGAAAAACGCAGTGCATACCCCCAAATTGTAGGTGCACACAGCTAAAGAGGAAGCAACATATATGACAAATCACAAGGAGGAAAATATGACCAGTTACACGATCTGTAGTAGTGATTATTTGCTGAAGTTTAATTTTACTGTTTACTATTAAATTCTAATGGATTATTGAATATTGCTTTATTTGATATAAGTTGTTTATTTTAAAGTTATTACGACTTTTTAAATTGGATCAGATTGTTATTATTAATGCTTGGTGTTTTATATGTGTTGGAAGCTGCCCAGAGTGGGCAACCCAGCCAGATGGGTGGGATATAAATAAAAAATATTATTTTCATTATGATGATGATGAAGGGGGCTCTATCTTCTGGTAGACACCTGAGGGCAGGACTGCCAGTAGGTCAGACGTGCCTCTTTAAGAAAATGCTGATATTGGTCCTCTGTTTCAAGTGAACCATCTTCCTGCACTCCCACCCCAATGTTCTATCAATGCAATTTCAGAATGTGAAGACTTTGTGTTCAAGATCCCTTTTGCCTTTAAAATTAGCCATGCTTGGTGAAGCAGAGCAGTAAAAGCTTGGCCATCTTTGAAAATTCATAATTGCCTCCTCCCACAGATATTGCACTGACATCCATCCACATAAGTTGCTAGCAGAAAGGAAGATAACATAGCCTTCCCCCCTAAGCCTGGTAGATTGCAAGGTCCTTGTGGGAGAACAAATGCATCCATTCTGAGTTTCAAGGATGCCCCTTTAGGGGCTGCAGAATTGCCTATCCAGCTTTGCCCCATTAAAAAAAATGTGTTAGCAGAGCTCTGTGTATGCCTGGTTTTCACAAGAGCTCAGGAAAAAAGAATGGAATGTATTACTGGATACAGAATTTGGTATCCTGAAATAATCACCTTTATTTTATTTTTATTTTTATTTATTTTTAAAAAAGATCCAGACTTTATGGCTTTGAAGATACACTCAAAAGTGTGTGGGAAATGTGTGTGACATCCTGGGGAGAAATGCTAAATGCAATACTGGGTGCAGAATTTGGCTTCCTGAGGTGCTTGGTTTTCTTTTTTGAAAAGGCAAGTTTTCAGCCCTTATGATTATGAAGATATGGTTGAAAATGTGAAATGCCAGTTGTAATATCAGAAGCCAGAGGGGTGGCTGGAGAAGAATTCCAGCAGCTGGGATGAGGGCTTCAGTGCCCTGCATAGTCCTGCCCTCCCTGTGACAAGCAAGACCAGAATATAGTATGCAGAACTGTAAACACTACAATATTTTTAAAAAAACATGAAAATGTGCATAATCTGTGCAGATCACACTTTCCTTAGTGCAGAATTTGGATTGTCTGTGTGCACAATTAAGTATACACTGTCCTGATTCCCCAGATCACTGCTCTTTTTGACAGTTCATGGGAATTAAACTCACAAGATAATACGGTCCCTCCTTAAGCAAATGCACTCCTACATCCAACCAGTGAGCTGGACCCTCAAATCTCTTGGCTGTCCAGTTTGTGTCTTATTCCCCCTACCAAAGCCCCCATGATGAAATAAGGAAGATAGTTGCAGGGCAGGGAGATAAAAGTAGTAAGATTCTTGCTTCAGCTCTGTTCCAAACCTCAGTCATGTGTAAGCTTCGTTCTAAACAAAACAAAACCTTTTTAGAACCCTCTTCTTTCCAACCACAAGGTTAATGTCAATTGAAAAGACTTCCATGCTTTGCTTTACATCCTAGTGAGTGTGATCAAAAAAATAAACCACTTAATTTTGTTATCTTTAGGTGAAATATTAAACACTGCAGCTGGGTTGGTTTTTGCATGCTGGGCATTACCCCCATTCCCAATAAGAAATTATTCACACTTTCTAGAGCAGTAAAACCTCCTTCTGGATGAGAGCATAAATCCCTATTACTTTAAACTCAAGCATTTTCTTGGGTTTCTGTGATTTTTCCATTGCAGCTATTTTGATGTGCTAACAGGATGAGAAACACACAAAAGTGCACCTGATATATTCACACATACCAAGAAGAAGAAAACTACACATTTTACAAAATGGAGCTCTTGCACAAAGACCTGTTGAAGTGTGCGGGGCATGGCTGTTTTGTAGACACACATTCTCTAAAGCAGGAGGAGGAGACCTGTGCCCTCCACCAATGTTGTTGGTCTCCATTAACCTCAGGTAGCATGGCCAATGGCCAGGGATTATGGTAGTTGCAATCCAACAACATCTGGAGGGCCGCAGGTGTCCCATCCCTGCTCTATACCCTTCCCCTTCCCCCTGCCACCGCCTGAGACATTCCTGTTCTACAATAGAAGACAAGCTTTTCATTTAACATCAAAGTACCATGTGGTGTTTCCTGCTTAGAGCCTTCACCAGACCTGAAAAATGAAACAGGAAGAATCTACATTCTTTTAGTTTCCTTTTCATCGATTCTCTCATGTCAAAAGCTACTAACCACTTGCTGTCCAGTGGCACTTATTTCAGTTTAATCACAAATTACAACTGCTGTTGGTGACATAGCATCACAGTCTTTCACAGATCATCAAGCTTTCAGGGAAGGCAGCTTGCACAGAAGACTTCTCAGCCACTTGTACCAGGCAGAACAGTGCAGGTGACAAAGTCCAGAAATCTCAGCCTTGCTTCACCAGCACCACGGACAGCACCCTGTCCTCTTCTGCGCCCACTACTGACCAAGAGCAAGCATTATTTCAAGTTATTGTTAATAACCATGTTGTCATGTATATCACAATATGTGGTCATTTTCTTCCTCTTTCCAAAAGTAGAGAAGCTGTTTTTGGCTTCCTGATCCAGAAACAGAGGCCCATCCTTATTGGCAGGCATTGTAGGGGTCCCCGGAATATACACGTTGTGTTGGTAATCCAGAGGGGACATGTGCTGTGAGTACACAGGAGCATACCGAGGTGTCCAGATGCTGTTTGAGGCACCAGGTGCCTTCTGGAGTTCTGTGAAAAGGGAAGATGTTATCTATTGACAGAAAGAAAATCTCAGGGGGTCACAGCACATCAAACATAGTCCCATTCATGAGATATGCTCCATCCAGTTCCCAATAGCATATCTGAGCTTCCATATGATGTGTCTAAGTCAGCAAAATAAAATCTTGAAGGGCTGGGACTGAACCACCCGCCCCTACAAATCTACACACCATAGCTTACTTCAACTAGTAAAGCAAAAGAAAGGAAAATATGGCAGGAATTGAGCACTCCAAAGGAGTATGGGAGTTAAACATTTGATGGACGTATACCAACAGCTCTTAATTTACTATTCTGGGAATCCAAGGATCAAAACTCACCAGAGACTGGAGTGACCAAAGTGCGCAACCTGTCATGTTCCTTCTGGATTCCTCGACGAACTCCCCCTACATCCTCTAGGCTCTGTGAACTAAAAAAGAGGAGCAACTAAACAGAGTTATCCAAGATTAGGGTAAGAACACCTAACATGCTCCATAGCCATTGCTTTATGACTAAATGACCCAGACCAATCCCAGTACCTCTTCAATGTTGATTGCTTAGATGGCAACCAGTCTGTATTGGGTTGTTTCACCTGCAAATGAGAAAAAGCAGATGTTGAATAGAATATCTGCCTTCATTACACTTGACCAATGGATGCTGTTCTGCCAGCCTTTTGTGTTTTCAATAGGCATAGCAGCTAGCAGTGTTTTACAGCAGGGTCATAAAACATAAGGCACAGAGGCCTAATTAGGCCCCCTCAGGGTCTTCCGTACACACTTCAGGCAAATTATTTAACTACTTTCAGCACCAAGAAGCCATGATTTTAATAGAGCAAAGATGCAAATTCATAATGGCAGCTACTTCCCATACACATGGCTAATCCTGCATAATTCCCTCTAAAATAATGCAGTGGGGCTATGAGAAGAACAGAACAGATAAAGCATTGTACAGAGAAGAGTAAGGACTTGATATTTGCCAGCATTGGCAGGTGGTGGCAGTGGTAGCAACCATGTTGGAACCATCAGTGGAGGAGATGTGAACATCTTTGTGCTTGGGCTGGCAGGTTTCGGAAACTTGCTTGGTCAGGTGTGACAATTTAGTGGGTAGTCAGTGGCGTGTGGGAATGGGGGGGGGTTCGTGGCAGGGAGCAGAGAGTTGCAGAAGGATGCTTGGGACTAAGAGGATAACTGGAAGAAAGAGAATGGCAGTCAAGGAACAGCAGTGGGTCATGTCAGGCTATATGGTGTGGGCAGGAGGGAAGTGTCCCTTGGGCAGAAAGGAAGGAGGCTGGGCTGCCCTCTGCTCCTCCAAAAGCCACTGTCATTTTCCGGGCCCATGAACCAGACAGCACCTGGTTTGGAAGCAGGGGCCTGATTTCCATGAGTCCCAGTCAGGGAGTTCTACAAAGTTGTACAAGGCCCTGGGTTGGTACTTGCATGCAAATTCATCCCCTCTTGCCTGCAGCAGGAAGTCATGATTTGCTGTATGTGAGAACCTGACTCATCCCTGAGCCACAGAAAGGACTTTTGTAACACCTTACAGGACCCCGGACACCACGGTGTCTGTTCAGCAAACTCGGCTGCGATCCTTCAATTGTTAAGTAATGCAAAGTCAAGGAATCAAGCGATGTGCTTGCATGGAAGGACCAGCAGGCCTACAAGTGAAAAGCTACTTTCTGAGAAAGTGCTCCTTTGGGTACTTCTTTCCTTTTTTCAAACGCAGAGATTTTAAAAAATGGGGCCCTCAGCTTGAATATCACATAGCAGAACCTGACTTCCTTGGGCTCCTCTCAATCAGCCGCTGCTTATCAGAAAGATTTGGTCGAGGGGGTCTTTTCTCGCCCGAAGGGAAAGGAAGGGAAGCCGCGTCTCTGCCCCCCCCCCCCGCGCGCCTCTTCTTTGGGGTTTCTGCCGCGCCTGAGATCAGTTGCGGAAGACCCTCTCCGGGGGGCGCCGCTTAGAGCCCCTCCGCCGGGGCTGCGCTCCTTCCCACAGCGGGGCGACTAGGCCCCCCCGAGCCAGAGAGCCCCGAGCTCCTTCCCAAGAGGCCCCCTCATTGGTATTCTGCGTTTTCTCGGGCGCGCTCCGACTTGGCTTTTGCCGAAGTGGGTTTTTTTAATCTCGGTGTCAGACTCGCTGGATTGTGAAATGGAAGCGCCGCTCGCTTCAGCTTACTTTGAAAATCCCCAATTATTGTCCTATTGTTATGCGCTTTGACTTAATATGCCTGCCTCGTTAGCATGGGGGTCACGTACTAGGTGCGGGAGGAGGAAGCCTCCCTCGCTCCCTGCCTGCCAATGTGCCACCCTGGATGGATGGAGAGGCCTCGCCAAGCGGGTCAGGGGCGCTGCGCCCCGGGAGGAGATGAACCAGGAGGCGCCTGGCTTGGGAAAGAGCGGGGAGGGGAGGGCGAGGCAGGCAGGGGCGACTTCGGGGGCCAAGCTCCATGGTCCTCCCTCCTTGAAACGAGTCCTGCGGGGGGGGGGTCATCCCTGTCGCCTCTTTTCCGCGAGGGGGCTTTGGAGAATGGTGACCCGGCCTCGGAACCTTCCGAGATCGCCTGCCCTCTCTGAAGCGCAAAGGCCCGGCCTCGAGGGCGCTTCTCGCACCCTGCGCTACTCATGTGCCCTGCAAGGGAGTCAGCAGGTTGAGAAACGGGGGAGGGCAAGTCCCCCGGGCCTCTTTCTGGGAGATCCTGCTGCGTGGGCCTCTTCCTCCTCTGTAAGATGCCAACCTTTAACTCAAGAGGAATGGATGGATGAATGCAATCCTTCATGCCCTAAATATCCCCGGAGATGCTCCCAATACGTTTTCATGCCATCTCTTCTGAGAGACCACGGCCTGTTTGTCTCTCTGTCTGTCTCTGTCTTGCTGTTGGATCCTTCCGGTGAGAGGTTTATCACCCTCCCCCGCCCCCGCGGCGCCAGCCGCCTCCCTCCCCGTAGCGAGGTAGCTTTTGTGGCCTTGCTGCTCTCTCCTTGGTCCGCCCGAGGCGGAGAGGTGTGGAAATCAGCTCCGTACATCAAGTCACTAGGGGGAGTTTGTAACTGACTAGAGGAAAATCGCATTAACATATTAGACAACTGTGTCCAACGATCCAAGCGAAAATGTGAAAAAGGAAGACGACCTGTCTGCAGAATGACTTGTGCTCGTTTAAAAAGGGCTGTATGGTTAAAAGTGGTTTTCAAATGTTTGTAAGTGGATTATGCTTTTCATCCTCGTCCATCCTGGGTAATCGCGTTATTGAAATAGTATTTCATCGGGAAAAATTAGACGTTATTCATTTATATGCTTAACAAATGTTGACATAAAAATCTCTTTCTATCTGTCAAGGGTTTTTTCTTTTCCCCCCCCCGCCCCTCCCCGCAGCAGCCAGCCTATTCTGTTCTTTTTTACACCAGCCCAGTGATCCGCTCTTTGAAACAGCAAGGCGTTCGCCTCCCCCCACAAAGCGCCTCCACCTCCCTCCGCTCGCCTGCCACCGAGAAGAGCTCAGCATCAATTTCAAGAGGTGCCAGGAGGGCGGAGGGGTCCTCAGCAAATGGGATCGTGGCAAAGGTAAGGAGGCGCCTCTGAAGGAGCCAAACACAGCACCAGGCAGGACTGGTCCTTCCCAAGCAGAAAGATCTGTCAAGCCCAACGCTGCTTCTGCAGCAGCAGCAACAGAGTGCCGCCTTAACCCCTTCCTTTCCCCACAGGGATCGAGCGAGGGGCGCTCATTCTGGGGCACCACGCACGGGGAAATTCTCCTGCTCACACCCATTGAAAAGAATGGGACCTGGTCATTTATTTCAAGGAGGTTTGAGCAGGAAAGCCTCCTGGTGGATTGCTCCCCTGACAGAAGAAACAATAAGCTAGAGCCCCTTATGGGGAGTTGTAGGCGCGGTGCATTTACAACATGACCACCGTTCCATCACTGCGATGTCCTGGGCCCGTCTCTGCAGCCCTTCTCTTCTCTGATATGGAATGTGATGTGTGTGTCGTGCGTGGGTGCGTAAGAAAGAGAGGGAGGGAGGGAGGGAGGGAGGGAGGGAGGGAGGGAGGGAGGGGAGAGCTTGTGCACGCTTATTCCGAAGAAAACCCCAGGGAATTCAGTGTGACTTCCCCCCAAGTAAGTGAGTGGAGGCTGGTTGCTCGCCTCCACCTGATTTTCTCCTCTCAGCCAGAGGGAGGGAGTGAAGGTGGTTGACCCCTTGCCTTTACGGTGAGCCAGGGACCCCCACGCCAACCTCGCGCCTTTCCCGCGGGCTGGGAGAAAGACCTCGAGTGGGAGGCAGCCAGGGAGAGAGGGAGGGGTAGAGACAGGCAGGCAGCAGCAGCGAGACGAGCCGCGGGGCCGTCAGGCGAGGGGAGCTGTCATCTCTTTCGACAGAGCCGGTCCCAGATTCCTCGGCGCGCTCCTCGTCTCAGCCTTAATGGGCGCTCGAGTATCACTTCTGAGCGCTTTCCGCTCGTCCCACTAATTTAAAACGAGCCTGACGTTTTCAAAATAATTAACTAAAACGGCAAGAAGCCTGGTGGAGAATTTTTTGCTGTCTGATGGTTACTAATGTCGACGCTGCCACTTGATCAAAGGGCCGGGTAATTATCTTTAAAAAGTTGCTCAGGAATGAAAAGATTTCGCCCTGCGCGGATTTATTTTTTTGAAGACTGGGGCGTGCGGCGGGGGGGGGGGGCGTAGAGTTGCCTAATCATTTTCGAGGGACTTTCCGGACACTTTTTGGCACAGCTTCCCCCTCCCTCCCCAGAGGTTACCTGGCTGGAGGGCTGCAGGGAATTATTGGCCAAGCGGGGCGTCTTTCCCTGAGCTGGTGGCAAGTTGTCCGGGACTTTCTCGTTGTTCCTGGGAGCGGCCGGGCTGTAGGGCTTCAGGAACATGAAGTCGCTCTTGGCCGACTCCGGGGTGAGGCAGACCTTGTAGCAATAGCCCGGAGGGCCCCCCACGGCCGCGCCCTCCCCGCAGTTGGTGGCCCCTTTGTTGCCCGAGGGGACCTGGGAGTTGTGGATGTGGTTGGAGTTCTTGAAGATGTCCGTCGGGGGCCCCGAGGGGTCGCAGGAGCAGCAGCTGCCGCCGCCTCCGCCGCCCCCGCAGGGCGGGAGCGAGCAGCCGTAGTCCTGGAGGGTGAGCCGGTCCTTGTGGCACTTGACGGCCGTGAGGATGACGATGGCTACCAGGAAGGTGAAGGAGACGGAGCCCAGGGACACGATCAGGTAGAGGGTGAGCGTGGAAGAGGCGGACTCGGGCCCCAGCGGGAACTCGCTGAAGTCCGACAGCACCTCGGGCACGCTGTCCACCACGGAGAGGAGCAGCGACACCGAGGCCGAGAGCGGCGGCTGCCCGTTGTCGCGCACCTGCACCAGAAGGCGGTGCCTGGGCGCGTCCTTCTCCAGGAAGGCGCGGATGGTGCGGATCTCGCCGGTGTACAAGGCCACGCTGAAGAGGCTGCTGTCCGTCGCCTGCACAATCTGGTAGGAGAGCCGCGAGTTCTGGCCGGCGTCCGCGTCGACGGCGGAGACCTTCCCCACCAGGTAGCCCGGGTCTGCCGAGCGGGGCACCACCTCCACGGCCAGCGAGCCGTTGCGGGGCACGGGCGCCACGATGACCGGTGCGTTGTCGTTCTGGTCCAGCACGAAGACGTGGACGGTGACATTGCTGCTGAGCGGGGGGAAGCCGGCGTCCTGGGCCAGCACTTGGATCTGGAAGTTGCGGATCTGCTCGTAGTCCAGCGAGCGCAGCGCGTACATGTGCCCGCTGTCCGAGTTGATGGAGACGTAGGTGGCCACGGGCATGCCCTGGATCTGCCCGTCGGCGATGGAGTAGGACAGGTAGGAGTTCTGCTTGCAGTCCGGGTCCAGGGCGCTGACCGAGCAAATGGACGCCCCGGGCGCGTTGTTCTCCATCACGTAGACGCTGTAGGAGGGCTGCAGGAAGCGCGGCGCGTTGTCGTTGATGTCCGACACATGGACGGTCAGCGTCTTCCTGGTGGCCAGCGCTGGGCTGCCCCGATCTCGAGCCGTGATGCTGATGTTGTACTCGGGCACAGCCTCGCGGTCCAGGGGGTCGGTGGTCACCAGGGTGTAGTAGTTGTGGAAGGAGGACTGCAGCTGGAAGGGCACGTCCGGCGGGATCTCGCAGCTCACCTTGCCGTTGTCCCCGGAGTCTCTGTCCAGCACGCTGATCACGGCGATGACGGTGCCGGGAGGCGCGTCCTCCAGGACGGGCGTGGAGACCGAGGTGAGGGTCACCTCGGGCGCGTTGTCGTTGACATCCACGAGATGCACCAAGACCCGGCAATGGACCGCGACGGCGGAGGGGCCGCGGTCCTTGGCCTGCACGTAGAGCTCGTGCAGGTTGGCTCGCTCATAGTCCAGCTGACCCTTCAGGCGCACCTGCCCGCTGCGGGGCTCCACGCTGAAGAGCTCTCGGACCCTCGGCGGAGCGTGCCCGCTGAAGGAGTACTCCACCTCGCCGTTGGTGCCCTCGTCCAAGTCAGTGGCGTTCAGCCTGATGACCAGAGTCCCCTTGGGCGCGTCTTCCGGAAGACTCACCGTGTAGGAGGACTGATCGAAGACGGGCACGTTGTCGTTGGCGTCCAGCACCGTGACCACGACCCGAGCCGTGCCGGAGCGCTCGGGGATGCCGCCATCCAAAGCTGTCAGCAAGACCCGGTGGCTGCGCTGCTGCTCGCGGTCCAGGCTTCTCTCCAGCACCAGCTCGGCGAACTTGCTGCCATCGCTGCGGGTCTGCACCTCCAGCGAGAAGAAACCGTTGGGGCTGAGCCGGTAAGTGCGTAGGGAGTTGGTGCCCACGTCCGGGTCCTGCGCGCTCTCCAGGGGGAAGCGGGCGCCGGGCAGCGCCGACTCCGTCACCTCCAGCACATACTCTTGCCAGGGGAAGCTGGGCGCGTTGTCGTTGATGTCCAGCACCTCCACCTCGACGCGGTACAGCTCCAGCGGGCTCTCGATGACCAGCTGCAGGTGCAGGAGGCAGGCCCCGCTGGCCTCGCACACCTCCTCGCGGTCGATCTTCTCGTTGACAAAGAGGATCCCGTTCTCCAGGTTCACCTCCAAGTGCTGCTTGCTGCCCGCCCGGGACACAATGCGAAACCGCCTGGCCGACAGCTTAGACACATCCAGCCCCAGATCCTCGGCGATGTTGGCCACGAAGGCTCCGTGCTCCAGTTCCTCGGGCACCGAGTAGTGCAGCTGGCTCGCTGCTGGCGCCGGAGCCAGAGCCAGAGCCAAGCAAGAAGTTAGCAGGAGCAACAGCTCCAGCCTCGCACAACTCCCGGCGCAGCCTGCGAGCCTCGGGCCGAGCCGGGGCCCCCCTGAACCCCTCACCCAGCGGGGAGTCCCGCCGCCTCCATCGGGAGAAGGCATCGGTGAGCTCAGCGCGGACGCGGCAGAGCACTGGCGCCGCCGCAGCTGCAGCCTCCGCTCCCGCCCTTGTGCGTCTTCATCATCAATGGACTTGGACTTCCAACTACTTTCGGCTGGCAGGGGGAGCCGGCAAGGGAGGACCCGCCTGCCATTTCAGCACCGCATTGGTGGACAGCGCCGTCGAGCCCGAGCCCGAGCGGCTGCGACGAGGACGGGCGGAATGGTTAACCCTTTCGTAGCCGGCGGAAGCGACGTGGGGAGGGGAGAGAGAGAGTGTGTGTGTGTGTGTTTTAATTCTTATACCCAGGAGGCTGCAATCATTTCCATGCGGGAAAAGGTCAGGTACCTTCCCAGCGTGGCGCGGTGTATTATCAGCAAAGCGAGGATAGCTTAGAAGTCCCCGATGAAGCAAATTGGCTGTGGCGGAGAATTTGTGGATCCTGAAGAGCAGCAACCCTAGTTGGCGCCGAAGCTGGTCTCGCTCGCTGTCGCTGGAGGGGAGGACGCTGCTCTCTCCGGGTCTCTTCCCAGAGAAAGAAAGTTCATTCCGCTCGGCGATGGCAGGAATCCCCTCTCTTCCCGCCCCTGTTTGCTACAGCAGCATCTCCGGGGTAGATTAAAGAGCCCTCAAACACATCGAAAGCCAAATCCTCTCCCTATCCTGACATCAGACTCCGCGCATGGATTTAACCTTTAACAGATGGTTAAGCTTCTACAGAATTGATTACATTTTCCTGCACACCGTTTTCCTTGTAATGCTGCTTTGTTTTTGTTTGTTTTTTAATTACCAGAGAAGAGGATTACACCCCAGACTGCCGGATCAAGGCTGATTCTATCAGCGCAGAGTCATGGAGAAAGCGCCCGCCCTCCCCGCCCCCCCCCGCCCGCCAACACGCCTCCTCCTCGCTCTCGGGCCGCCGGAGTTCCCAAGTGCCTCTAATGCCGCCGACTCCGACGGCGAGAGCAGAAACAGCGAAAAGCGCCTGGAGGAAGGAGGCTCCACCGTGTGGCTGCTCTACAGGTTTTACATTAACCTTTCCGCAGCAGAGTGGTCCAGGCAGGCTGACACGCCAGCCACAGGCGTGGGTGGGAGGCTGAAATAAATTGACTGCAGTCCGCTGCTCAGGACCAGCTCTGCGTGTCGACTGATTCTGCTCCCGTTTGCGCGGCAGGTGGGGGAGTCCTCCTCCTTCTGCTTTTTGCCTCCCGGTTGTTTCCCTGATGTAGGTACAATTACGCGGCGTGCAGAGATAAGACTTCTGTCCGCAGCCTAACCACGAGGCGTCGTTCCTGCGGATTTACGCCCCTTGGAAGGCAGCGGGGCTCAACGGGTTTGCTCCGTGCTACAGAACTTCAGCCGAATTGTGATCTCCCGCGTGACAAGGAAGGAGCGATGGCAGCTCTTGCCTCACCTTCCTCTCTATATCAAAACGAATGGTCTTTTCAGGCCCAATTCCAACACGTTTGCAAATAAAGTCCCGACGACCTAAATGGGACCTATGTCGCAGGGCAAGAAACCCGTCGAGGGTCCAGGCCTCGCTCCCCTTCGCTTCCATCGTCCCATTCACGATGTTTGAGTGGTTTTCTGGTGGCCTGGCTTCTCAGAGGGCCACCCGCACTGAGTCTCCTCCATCAGGTTCTCTGTCCCGCGCTAAACGCGAGGTTTCTCCAGCAGCATCTCCAACCGAGCATCTCGGGTCTCCTCCGGGCAGGAAGCTGCTCGCCTATCCCCACTAGTCCCAGTTCAGGCAGATGAGGACGGCCACAGGCTTCTCCCGGCGTTCCTTAGGGGGTGTTGCGGAAGCCCACGGAGCCCTCCGAGCAAAACCTCCCCGAGCTCGGCTTGATTAAAGGCGGCGGGGCGAGGGAAGGATAATCTGATAACAATCTACTTAAGGGATTTGGAAGAGGCGCAGATTTCAGAGGAGATTGAGCCCTGCACTGATACTGAGCAGAACACAGATCCGGCGAGAGGCAGGCAGCCGCTCTCCTCTGCTCGCCATCTCTCAGCACACACACACACACACACACACACACACCGGATCTTCGAGCCTCTGTCCGAGGCCGTCCTTTTTTTTGTCCACCACAGTGAAAATCACTTGCGGGGAGGGGGGAGGGGAGGAGGGGGACTGGGCGAGGAGACTATATTGGGCGTCAGGCTCGAGGGTTAAGAAAGGCAAAGGATTCAGCTTAACTCCGAGAAAGGAGGAGAGATTTAGCTATGGGGCAGTCGAGCTATAGGGCAGTCACAGCACACTTCCACTTCGGGGGGGGGGAGGCTGGGCTAGTCGTGGTGAAGACACCTCTCACTAGATTGATCTTCCCGGTAACCCGAGGCAAGCGGTCAGATGTGTTTCATCAGTGTAGGTTTACCGACACAAGGCTTTCCACTCACTGGTGCAACACACCCATCTGTTTACACGCTGCTCTTTCTCTCTCTTCAAAAGTAAAACACTGGAGACAAACTTAGAAATAAATAAAGTTTATTTCATCCCCCCGCCCTCCTCTAAACACCCGCAAGGCAGTTAAAGAAAAAACAACCCTATCCCCAAACAGCGCGTAATAAAGCACTCTAGCAACTCACTCCAGCTGCATACCGTGGGGAGCCATCCATGAACAGCTAAATTGGCTGCCAGAAATGGAGTTTACCCTTGTTTGATCATACATGCAATTATGAAGCACTTATTCTACACAAGAGGACGAGAGTCTGCACTTACTTTGAGTTTTCACTCTTTTCCGGATTTTGGTGGGGAATATCAGGGTGCTCTTATAGCTCTGCAGAGAAAATAACTCCTAGCCCGGCCCTGCTTCGTTTGCCACACCCACCCCCACACCCCCACACACAATTCCCTGGTTCCCGTGGGCTGCTTCTACCCTCGCTCCCCCATGGAACTTGGAGGTCCCCACCCCGCTCTTCCATCGGAACCCAACGCTGCAGTTCCAGAACGCATCGCTTGAGGAGACAGGGGCAAATGATTTAGTCGGCGGCCCTTGGATCTGCCAAGGGTGCAAACGAGCATCATCTGCTAGTTGTGCGAGAGGGTCATGAAAACACTCAGGGCCTGAGCTCCCGAGGACAGGAAACTGCGGCCCGTTGGAAGGGTTTGGACTACAATTCCCATCACGCCTGGCCTTTGGCCACGCTGGCTAGGCGTGATGGGAGCTGCTAGCTCAAAGCAGGCTACCTTTCAAGCCTCTTTCTGGCCCAGACCCTACATCTAAAGCAGATGGGTGGGTCCATGGCTTTAGCCCGCACCCAAGGATCATGGGAACTGTAGTTTGTTATGGGTGTTGGGAATTATAGCCCGGGGAGGGTAAACAGTTTCCATGATTTATTTGGGATGAGGCTACATTAGTTGGGACTAGCAGAGGAGGAAGGCTGAGATTATTCAGTGGAGACTCTTGCTGGGGGTGACGTGGAGGAGAGAAAGGGGCCTCCCTCCGTTTCCCTCCCAGCCCCCTAACTTCCCTCGGCCAAGCCCTCCCCCAGCATTCCAAGTCTGTGGCTGGGGGAAGCGAGCCGCGCTCCATGCTCTCCTCCCCTCGGCCAGCCTCTGCCCGTCCAAGGCGACAAGCAGCAAAGGGGCCCTCGCCTGAGTTCCTCTTCACCAGAGCCAAGGCACGTCTAGGCCGCAGTGTTTCCCAACCTTGGGCCTCCAGCTGTTTTTGGACTACAACTCCCATCATCCCTAGCTAGCAAGACCAGTGGTCAGGGATGATGGGAATTGTAGTTCAAAAACAGCTGGAGGCCCAAGGTTGGGAAACACTGGTCTAGGGGGTAGTAGCAGCTCTGCATCCGGCATGCAGAAAGTCCCAGGTCTGGTCCCAGATTTCTCCAGTCAGGGCTGGAAAATGCTCATGGTCTTAAACCCTGGAGAACCACTGCTGGCCAGAGCGGACAGTGCCATGGGCATATGCAGGATTTGGGGGGGGGCAGGACACCCCCCTGTCATCATCCTCTGTCTGGCTCTATCTAGCAGATTCAGAAAGAAATGTCTCACCAAGAGTTGTTTTAAATTACTTTATTTTGACCCCAAATGCTCAGAAAAACCTGTCAAAATTTTAAGTCATTTGAAAACTAGGGAGTTAAATGAAAAAATTAACACCAGGGAGTACCTTTCATGTGGTTAACAAGTATATTTTGCAAAATTACAAAGAACACACCCTTTTTCTTGTTATTTTTTAAAAAATCTAAACTAAGTTTTCTTGGATTTGCTGAAAACCTTTTTGCCCTCAAAGGTCCTGGAGCTGAACCGCCTCGGACTCACCTGGCAGGAAGGTCTAACATGGCACAGAGCTGTCCTGCTGGAGAAGCGCAAGAGGGCCAGTCCACCAGCCAGCCTGCCTGCCCCCCTGCCACCTTTGCCATTTGCGGGGCTGGGAGTGTGGCTCCTGGCGGGCAACAACTTGTCCTTCTCTGCAATTGCAAAGGCCGCTTTCGGAGCCTCTCCTACAGTCAAGACAAGCAAGGGGGTTCCTTCCTGAGCGCTGGCCTTCCCTGCTCCCAGATTCCCTCTCTGCCTGTCCCCGGCCTTCTTCCTGGGCTCTTGGCCCTTCTGTTGCCAGAACAGACTTCCGCTTGGCTGCTCTTCAATGACTTGCCTGGTCTAGGCCTAGGCTCCTGCAAATCCTTCTGACAACCCCCTTTTCCTCTTTTTGGTGGGAGCCAGGGCCATCTTAAGTATATCCGGCGCTGTGGTGCAAAGATCCCTCTGGCAACCCCCCCGTTTCCCAGAGTTGCCAACCTTTTTACGGCACTGCCAGCAGTTTTGCGGGGCTGGAGAAGTGGGCAGCTGCTGGAGGGAGGCTCCTCTGGAGGGGAAGAGGCAGAGGCTCCGGGCCAGCGCTGCTTCAGTGAGGCAGGTGAGGGCAGCAAACTGATGCCGGGAGGTGCCGTGCCATGCCCAGGCTCCTCCTCTTCCCTGGCACCCGTGCCGTGGTGGCCATGGCAGCTGGAGGCTCCAGGAATGGCGCTGCTTCGGTGTGGCATGGTGGAGGCGGGCGAGGGCAGCAAGCTGATGCTGGTAGGTGCCGCGTCCAACCTCCACCACTTCCCTGGTGCCCTCCAGAACTTGGCACCCTGGTGCTCTGCGCCACTTGCCTCTATGGGCAAGACACCCCTGGTGGGAGCCAAAATGGAAAGAGTTGCTGGCATTTCCTTTTTGTTTGCCTTCTCTCTTTCTCCTGCACAATTTCTGGGCAGGCAGCTAAGGCTTGATAGGGAGCTGGGGGGAGACTCATTCATTATCAGAATACCAAACAATGGTGGTATCTTCCAGAGAGTGATGGGAGGGCTCAGGGGGCACTCAGAGATTTGGAGCCACCTATTGTTCATTGGTCACGACTGTCTTCTCCCTGTTTAGAAGAAGAAGTAAACAATAGGTCCCCACCTTTATTGTATTATTTATATCCTACTAAGGTGGTGTGCACGTGGTTTCTAGGTGGCACGGACCAGACCCAGATCTGCTTAGCTTCAACAAGGTGGCAGCCTCATGCCGTCAGACTACACTCTGGGATGGCCCAAAAATTGCATTTGTCCTACAAGGATCCTCACTTCCCAGCTTTTGGAGAGGTTCAGACTGTGAGCTCGTGAAAAATAGTACAGCAGAACCAAGTCCCTGTTCAAGGCTGCAGTTTTCCGTAGGGAAATATTTGTGGACTCCGCCAAAACCTATTTTCATTTTCTGTCTGGCATTGTGGAGGCTGTGTGACTTTCTCCATCAATGACTGTGAAGGAAGCTTGTAAACTGTTATATTCAGGTAAAATAACATTGTGAAGCGAACAGACAAGCCATGGCAGCAGTAAGGGTGCATCACTTTTCACAATCTTGACAAGGTAGTGC